TGGACTCGCCTACGTGAAGTCCGAACTGCTGAAGAGACACACGTGCACAGACCTGGGTGAACTGCGCAGCTACCTTGGCTTGCAGATCACTCGGGACAGAGCACGCCGCACCATTACCTTGACTCAGTCACACATGGTGCAGCAGGTCCTTCAGCGCTTCGGCTTCACGTACTCCTCGCCTCAGGCCACTCCTCTGCCTACTCGCCACTCACTCTCAGCTCTGCCTTCGGATGAGTCCGTAGAGTCGAGTGGTCCGTATGCAGAGCTTGTTGGCTGCCTCATGTACCTGATGACCTGCACACGACCTGACCTTGCATATCCTCTGAGCATTCTTGCACGCTATGTTGCTCCTGGGAGACACAGACCAGAGCACATGGCTGCAGCGAAGAGGGTATTGCGCTACCTGTGCAGTACGTCGGGCATGGGGCTTGTGCTTGGAGGGCGGAGTCCAGTGGTCCTTACCGGCCACGCGGACGCTTCTTGGGCTGACGACCAGGCTACGCAGCGGTCGTCACAGGGTTACACCTTCAGCCTTGGTTCCAGCTCTGTCTCGTGGCGGTCTACTCGCTCGTCTTCGGTTCTCGGCTCCAGTTGTGAGGCTGAGATCTACGCCGGGGCCATGGCTGCACAGGAGCTTCGCTGGCTCACCTACCTGCTGACTGACCTTGGAGAGCCGCCTCGTTCTCCTCCAGTGCTGTACGTAGACAACAAGGCCATGCTGGCCTTGTGTCGAGAGCAGCGCTTGGAGCACAGAACGAAGCACATTGCTCTCCGCTACTTCCTTGCTCGTGAGCTGCAGCAGCGTGGTCAGTTGCGACTTGCGTACGTGGCCTCTGAGGCCAACACTGCTGATGTGTTCACCAAGGCACTCGCGCCTTGTGACCATCAGCGCTTTTGCACCCAGCTGGGTCTTGTGCCTGTCTTGCCTCACTTGCTCTCCTCTTGACTTCACTTGTACTGTGACATATATATATACCTGCTCTTGCTTGTCTAGTTTTATATATATGTCTGTACTCCTGCATGTGAACTGGCCTCTGGCCCTGCTCTTGTGCTCGGACTGTGTGGTGACTTTGTGATCCACCCTGAGCTTGCTTTGCTTTGCTTGACTGGTCTTGTGACCCCTTGTTCTCCCCCACTTTGCCTATGGGGGTGTGTCAAACATTATATATGTTATGCTTGTGTAGGCTACAGTGGGTTAGCCTATAGGGGGTACACAATTCTAGGGTTTCCTACTTGTACTCATTTCACTGCTAGTTCATTCATTCCTGTTCGCTTATTTTCACAGCGTGCTGTTGTGCCCAATGCGAGGGACATAGAGCTCAACATTGCGGTGATACGAGCGACTTCCCGAATTGGGACTTGCTGGCCGCGTTGCCCCTTGGAGATGAGTGTGTGCAGCTTGTCGAGGAACTGCGCTCGCCGATCGGAGCCGATGCTAAACATGCCGCATGTCGTGTCCAGCTCCATCCCCAGAAATCGTGTTTGATGGGCCGGCTGGAGGCGTGATTTCTTTTCGTTGATCACGAAACCTGCCGCCCCCAGGTCTCGGAGAACCTCTGTGCATGTCTTGCGTGCGTGCTCCGCCGAGTCGCAGAGGAATAGCAGGTCGTCCACATATGGGACTACGCGCACGCCCCGCGCCCGCCAGCGTTTGGCCAATTGCTTGATCAACTGGGTGAAGACGAAAGGTGCTGTCGCCAGTCCAAACGGCAAGGCTCGGAAGCAGTAGAACTCGCCTTCGAATTGGAAGCCTAGGAACTTCCAGCACGAAGGGTGCATCTCGACATGGTGGTAGCCCGATTTTAGGTCAATGGTGAACAGCCAGTCGTTGCGTCGAATGATCTCCGAAACGCGATTCAGGCCCTCGTATTTGAATTCAGTGACTTGGAGGTGTTGGTTGACCTTGCGTAGGTCGAGGATGAGGCGACATTTGTCGCGTTGTTCTACCACGTTGAGTGGGCTCACGCACGAGAGCGCAGTCCGCGAGGCGACCTTGGTTGCCGCGCCCGATGTGATTAAGTCGCGAATGGCCTCACGAGTGAACGTGGTGTGTGCATGAACACCCGCGTGGTTTGTGGTTTCGAAGGGTGGCGGTTCTGTAGTTTTCCAAGGCAGCCAATATCCCCTGGCAATAATAGAGATGATAAAACTGCTGTCGCACCACGATATCCACCAATGCAGTTGGTTACGCAATCGGTTGAGCATGACCTTCACTGTGTCATCTGTGACCGCGTTCTCGTATGGGTCCCATTCCGCCTCTCGCCACTTGTCGTCCGCTACTGCACGTGGGGCAACCGGGGTGTGGTGTATTGGGTGATTAGCCTTTGCCCATAGGACCAGCCCGGGGGCTTATGCATACTCGGTGCTACGCCTTCCGTCTCTCCTTGTATCCTCCCTCCTCTAGTCTTCCTTTCTCCATGTTTCTTGCTCTCACTCTCTTTCTCTCTCTCTCTCTCTCTCTCTCTCTCTCTCTCTCTCTCTCTCTCTCTCTCTCTCACACACACTCTCTCTCGCTCTCGCTCTCTCGCTCTCGCTCTCTCTCTCTCGCTCTTGCTCTCTCTCGCTTTCTCTCGCTCTCTTTCCCTCCCTCTCCCTCTCTCTCTCTCTCTCTTTCTCTCTCTCCCTTTCTCTTCCTTGCGTTCTCTCTCTCTCTCTCGCTCGCTCTCCCGTTCTCTTGCTCACTCCTCTTCCGATCTTTCCATTTGCTCTTCTTCTCGAACTCTGCCTTGTATTCGCACATTTTCCTTCCATCTCGTTTTCTTCCTCTTTCCTTCGTACTCTTCCCTTCAAGTCAGGGGGGCGCTTGGGCTGGAATGGCTGCCTTGGCTTTACTTCCTTCTCTCCCACTTTGTTTGGTTGCATGTGTGGGTTTTTTTTTTTTTTTTTTTTTTTTTTTTTGAAAACCAGAGGCAAACTTTTATTACCACACATGGGTACATAGCATGTACTGCCCCCATAGCTACCCTTATGGCTAGGGATTTCTAAGGCCTCCAGCCCATACTCCCTGCTAGCTACCAGCCATGCACCCTCGGTGCTCCACCTACGCCCCCCGGCATAGTGGCAAGGGGCTCCGCCCCGTGTGCCTCCTCACACGACGGGTGAGGGGCCTTGAGCGCCCCGCCCTCCCATAGGGCAAGCATTTGCCATATGGCCGGGCTGGCCGCATCGGAAGCACACCCCTTTGAAGCGGGGCTCGTGGCAGCTTGCGGGAGGCATGCCCTTGCCTTCCGTGTCGCCATCTTGGGTAGGCATGCGATTACCGCGAGTGTAGCCGGCGCGTGCACGCTTGAGAGCCGCCACATCCGCAACGGCGAGCTTGTAAGAGCGGGAGGTTAACACGCTCTTGGACTGGTATAGCTGAAAACGATTGGCAGCCTCGAACCCCGCCTCGTCCGCCACCAAGAGGACTTCGAAGCGCTTGTGGATGAGCGTTTCGATTTCCGCAACGTTGGCGAGTGCGCTTTCGATGTCGCCGTGCTGGAGCTTGAAATTGACGTGCTTCAGGTGTGCCTGGATAGCAGAGAAAACCTCCGCCTGATCGCGCACGCCCTTGCGCATGAAGGTGGTAGGTGCGGGTGTGGGGTTGAGGGGTGGAAGAGAAGGTGCTGGTGCAATAACGCGACGACGGGTGATGTTATTGGGGGCCTCACCATCATCGTTGTCTGAGTCGTCGCTGTCGGCTTGAGCGGCGATTGGTGCCGGTACGGGAGCGGGAAGAGGTGCGGCAGTGGTCTCGTTGACGCGAGCAGCCTTGTTTGCGCGGGGAGCGTTGACTTCTTTCTGATTTTCGATTTTTGCAGGTGCAGAATTATAGTCGGAAGAAGTTGCGATTGTTACTGGGGCTTGCTGCTGTAACATCGAAAGCAGTGCCTGCATCTGCTGCGCAGTGAGGGACGCGAGGGGGTTGACTGGGGCGGCTTCTGCTGGGGTCGCTGCCTTCTGTCGCTTCTGCAGGGTGGGCCCCGGCTGACCAGCGTCGCCGTCCGCGTCAGCCGGCGTTGACTTGACTGGCGCGCGCGGCTGCCTGGCGGCCACACGCTCGTCAGCAGGATGCACGCGCGACTGTTTCACAGCCGCGTGTGCTTCTTCGGAGGGGGCTCGAGGGTTGCTCCCGAGCAACACTTCGACTCCTGAAGTGCCCTCGCCGAAATTGTCTTCGGCAGGGCGTTTTCCGCGGCGGTCGGTTGCCCCGGGCGCGTTCGCGTGCTCCGAAGCGTTTCCGGGGTTGTTGGTCTTTTCCGCCTCTCGATTAAGTACAGTGTTGGCGGGAGCCATATTCGCCAGGTTGTGTTGGAGAATGTCTGTGAGAAGGGTCGACGAGGACTTGAACCTCGGGAGAGATTGCGTCTTCGCCAGGATGAACGAGAACTAGGAAAGTAAACTAGAAAAGTTGGAAATGAAGAACGTGGGTGAAGGCGACTGAACCCACTTCCCTCTTTTGTAGGCAAAAGAGGGGTGAGTAGCGTCGAGCCGCTACCTTTGCTTTGCTGGCCACGTCCTCGCTTTCACAATACGAAATTTGAAAAAGTGTTACACTTTTAAAAATTATAATTTTGTGGTTAGTGAATGTACTTCGTGGCGTCATTCCCTCTACCGTATTTCAATTCAAGCCTCTCGCACAATTCGCTGCAAATTGTTACAGGCAAGAAAATAGTTCTTAGGACACAAGCTACTCTGATCTGATGCTACATCAGAAGCGTGCACTTTTGAGTGGTAGGTGTTGATGTGGCCATGAAAAGAGGCCTATAATGAAACAGCTTGTTATGATCCCCTTGTCATCATCAACTTGCATAACCTGCTCAGTTTGGAGAGGGAAAATGTACAAGGAGCATTAGAATATATTTAGCAGCAAACAAGGACGCAAATAAGGTAAGACGTGGATGGGAGGGGAAAAATGTATGAAAACTCGATCTTGAAGCATCCCCTCCCAAGTTTCTCTTCTTAATGATTTGTGAATTGACTCAACCACTCGCTCACCTGGATAAGATCTTCTGTTGTTTTTACCTGATCAGCAGTGGCTGCACGTTGTAGGGGAACAGCCCCAGGTGCTGCAGGCGAGAGAGTTGCGAGTGCAGCTGAGCGATGCACTGGAGAGAATCCACCACTGCGGATTGTGATACTCCTGCTGGGGAGCACACGACTGTAGACGGTGTGACTACTACAGCAGAATCTGTCAGCTCCATCTGATCCACTTTCATGTCATCATCATTCACTCCTTCTCCCTCCTCTTCCTCCTCTCCTTCCTCTTCCTCCTGGTTCTCCTCTCCTTCCTTGTCTCCTCCTTCCTCCTCTTCCTCATCTTCCCTGTCATTCTGCTCTCCTCCCTCTTCCTCGTCCTCTCCCCCCCTTTCCCTCCTTTCCTTCCTCCAACCATCAGTCATATCAAGCGGCCACCATTCCTCGTCACCACCACCACACCCCAATCTCTCCACCCTACTCTTCCTCATCCGCTCCCTCCCCTCCACCTGTTCCTCCAGCTGCCGCTTGAACGTTTTTCGAATGCTCTCTCCCTCTTCTTCTCCCTCTTCCTCTCCCACTTCCTCTCCCACTTCCTCTCCCACTTCCTCTCCCACTTCCTCTCCCATTTCCTCTCCCACTTCCTCTCCCACTTCCTCTCCCACTTCCTCTTCCTCACTGCTAGGCTCCTCCCGCCCTTCACTGCCTTCCTCTTCCTCTCCCTCACTGCTGCACTCCTCCTCAGCACTCACCCCTTCTTCTTCCTCCGCCCCTCTCCTACATTCTTCTCCCTCACTCTCACTCGTTCCTTGACCCTCCCCCTCGCCTTCACTCCATTCCTCTCCAACACTCCCTCCTTTCTGGTCTCTCTGCCTCCTCTCCCTTCCATTTTCCGACTGTTTTTTCATTTCCCTTGACGCTGAACCCACACATTGCAGCCAAAGTGCACGGCCAATCATGTGCTTCCACGTGGCAGCTGCTGCAGGCAGGCACCTGTGGGAGAACGAGTGGGAAGAATGGGAGGCAGCAGCGGGGAAGAGAGGGCGGGAGGGAGGGTGAAGTGAGGAGGGTTAGGGTGGGGCGTGGATGGGACAGGAACCTTGCACGGAAGCCAGGTATAGGAGCAGTACACGCAAGTGATGTTCACACTCATACCACATAGTGCTAGCTAGTCGCACAAGTAGCAGCCACAACAGCACTTATAACAGCAGCACTCATAGCAGCAGAACTCACAGTCACAGCAACACTCACAGCAGCAGCAGGCGAATGCAGGAGGGAGCAGTGGCGGGCTGCATGAGCAGATCAACAACAGCCGTGGCATCACACCCCATCTGCTGCAACCAACACGCGAGAGCACGGCACTCACAGCAGCAGATGGGCCGTACTCAATACTCACAGCACATACTCACAGCATAGCAGCAACTATCACAGCAGCAGACAGCACTCACAGCAGCAGCAGGCGAAGGCAGGAGGGAGCAGTGGCGGGCTGCATGAGAAGGTCAACAACAGCCGTGGCATCGAAGCCCATCTGCTGCAACCAACACACCAGGATATCCCCCTCCCTCAATGTCTCCCACCACCCCTGCAAGATGTCCCCCTCCGTAGATGCTGCTGCCTCTGCTGCTTGTGCTGCCCGTTCTACTGCCCTTTCTGCTGCCCGAGCTGCCCGTTCTGCTTGTTCTGCCCGATCTTCTGCGACCAATGCCGGCGCCGCTACTGGAATCATAGCAGCACCCGCTACAGGCACTTCTGGCTCTTGTGTTGCCACAGCTGCTAAGCCTCTCGATTGGTTGGAGAGGCGTTTGATTTGATTTGATATGGAGGCGAGGAGTGACAGTCCGTCCAGCAACACATCATCCTGTGGTTGGTGGGATGGGGAAAGGTGGGTGGGGAGAGCTGTCCAGCAGCCGTCTAGACAGAATCTCTCAACAGTGTTGGCAGTTCATATCGACACTTCACTGATCCCGATTGCAAAGAGCAGCATCGTTCTGTGCTAAAGGGGTACGGTTAGTCAATTCAAGTCAAGGTGAGTCATGGCAGGCCCCCCCGTGCTGACCTCGTACAAGAGCAGGTCCACAATGGGAGGCCGTGACAGGTGCGATGGGCATGCCCCCATGCCCCATGATGCTGTTTTACAATGAGGATTTGTGAGCAAAGCAGCTGCAGAGAGGGTGCAAGTGAGGATAAGTGAAGGGTGGGAGGGTGCTAGTCCTCATGCTGACCTCGTGCGAAAGCAGGTCCACAATAGGAGGCAGAGACAGGTGCGATGATGGGCATGCCACCATGCCAGACGATGCTGATGCTGATGTCTTCCAAGAGTGAGGGGTTGCGAGGAAAGCAGCTGCAGGGAGCGTACACGTGAGGGTGGGGGTCATGGCAAGAAAGGTGGACAATATATATACATATATATATATATATATAATTAAGATTACTGATTGAGATTATATGTTCCAGAAAGCTGGAAATGTACAGAAGCGCCCTTGCAAGTGGTAGTTTGGGGCACGTGGCAATACCACTGCAAGGACTCGCCCTAAGTGGTCAGTCGTTAAAGAAACTGTACCATTCACCTTCTGCCATGCCTTTTAAATCGACTCGAAAGTTTACTGATTGAGACGACAGCTTTAGGAGACAATCATCTATGTACACATGCATGAGAGAAAGCACCCTTCTTAAAGGCACAGTACAACCTGGTTTTTGAGAATTCTCAACGACCTACCTGCTGCCATGCCTCCCTGCAGCAGCTCCAAAGACTTCCACACCACACCCTCCCCTTCCACTGCTACTTCTCCCACCGTTCCGCTTTCATTGACACTGACACTGCCATTGTCAGTAACACCATCCCCTCCTGCTCCCATTCCTTCTTTACCCACCCCTCCTTCTTCCCCATTCGTTCTTGCCCCTCCCATCCCAGCCCCATTCTTCCAACCCTTGTTTGATAAGTGGTGGAGCGAGGAGAGGAGAAAGTGCGTGGTGCGGAGGAGAAGCAGCAGCTGCAGACGCAGCAAGTGAGCTGCAGCGGATGAACCGGCAGTAGCAGCAACTGGGACAGCAGGAGAAGCAGGAGGAGCAGCAGGAGCACCGGGAGGAGAAGCCGCAGCAGCAGGAGGAGGAGTAGCGGGAGCAGTGGGAGCAGCATGGGCTGTGGAGTTTGGTCTAGCAGAGTAGAAAACCCAGCAGGGGGGTGCGGGTCGAGAAGTGGTGAGAGAGAGTGTGAGGGGGAGGAGGGCGGAGAGGTAGGTGATGATGGTGTGAGAGAGAGGGGGGTGAGAGGGAAGGAGAGGTGCGCACCGGAGCAACAGCTTCTGAAAGAAGGCTTCGGGGCGTGGGAGGAGAGGAGAGAGGAGAGGGTGTGAGAGTGAAGGGGTAGAGTAAGTGGTGAAGGCAGAGGTTTAATGACAACAGGTGAGAGGTTTGAAAACTCAACAGGTTTGTTGCAAATACAGACTGACAAGGACGTATGTACGTTGCAGGGTCACAATCACAACACGGGCTGCCCTTCCTGGGAGGAGCAACCCGTACTGCTTGCTTCTAAAAGAGGGGGGAGAGCAGTGGGCCAGGGAGAGCAGTGGGCCAGGGAGAGCAGTGGGCCAGGGAGAGCAGTGGGCCAGGGAGAGCAGTGGGCCAGGGAGAGCAGGAAAGAGAGCGAAGGGGAGGTGCGTGCGTGGGTAGAATGGTGGGCGGTTGAGGCCTTACCAGAGATTTATGGTGAAGGTACGTGGAGTGACTGGGACCGGGAGGGTACGAGCCAACAGGAGAACTCAATGGGGCATGGACGAGCATGGGGAGGAGGCAGTGAGATACCCATGTGTGCACCACTGCCAGCACGCTTTGCACAGAAGAAGACGCCTCTAACATCGCCTCATCACCGGATGAAGACGCCCCATCCGTCGCCTCAACGCGCACCCCCATCAGCACACGCTCAGAACAATCTGCGCTCCTCCCCTTGCTGCTGCTGCGCTCACTGTCCCTCTCACTGGTGGTGGTGTCTTCACCCTGCCTGCTGCTGACATCAGCAAACTCGCCATCGCCTCTATTGCTTCTGGTGCCAGGATTTTCACTGCTGCTGAAGCCATTGCTGTTGGCGACGGTGCTGACACAGGCGGACAGCAGGCGAGTCAACCATCCCGCCGCCAGCTCTGCTGCTGCAGCTGCTGCTGCTGCTCTTGCCCGTTCCGCTGCTGCTGCTCCTGCTGCTTCCAAGACCTGTTGTTTCCCAGTATGTCCCTCCTGCTGCTGCTCCAACGACTGCCCCTGCTCCCACTGCTGCCCCTGCCGCCCCTGCAGCAGCAGCAAGGAGCGGGACCTGGAGTCCGCAGAAGAGGAGGCTAAGAGGCGAGAGAGGGGAGGCCATGGTGTGGCGTGCAGGAGAGCGAGGGCGGCCGCTTGGGCAAGGGCAGAGAGGCGCGCAGGAAAGAGGCGGAGGGTGGAGCGGGGTGGGGAGTGCGGGCAGCGTTTGAGCAGAGAGTGGAAGAGAGAGAGAGCAGCACAGGGCACGTGACCGTTGGGAGTGGAATTGACCACAGGAGCACTCGGCCCAGGCACGTTGGGAGTGGAATTAGAGGGAAAACGGGGCAAAGGCACGATGGTACTCGAGCGAAGAGCAGTGCAGGGAAGAGGCCCAATCGTCAAACCAGTATTGCTGCTGCCCTCGACGGTCGCTCCCTCTCCTTTATTTGGCACAGCGGGCGGGCAGGCACGAGGGGACCTTGGAGTTGGCTTGGAAAGCACAGGTGAGGGAGGGCAGGCAGGAGGAGAGGCGCGGAGTAGCAGGAATCGCAGAGCAGGGGAAGGGGAGCAGCGTCGGGTGGGGGAGAAACTGGCAGCAGAAGCAGCACAGGCAGCATTGGCAGCGGCAGTAGAGGCCCTGGCAAGGGCAGGAGCAGAGGCAGGGGCAGCAGGGGTAGTGGCGGCAGCAACGACAGCAGCAACTGTGGCCTGCCAGCAACGGGTTACCACTGCTGCTGCTGCGTGCTGCCCTGCATGCAAGGGGGGCGGAGGGGGGTTTGGGGATAGAGAGAGGTGCGAATTGGGGAGTGATGAGAGGGTGGGGGACGCAAGGACGAGTGGACGAAAATGGGCTGCTGTAAAAACAAACAACGGATGGTCTAGGTCGAATCAAACATCAAACCTGAGAATGGAAGTTCGAATGACGGATTGGGTGCAAAATCTTCAGACACCGCGAAAGATACTCCAGCAGACGGAGGAAAGGAGTGGGAAGGTGCATCAAAAGGTAACCCCAAGGGCATGTCAGAGTGGACCTGGTGTTACTTTTGGGAATTCTCAAAAGCAACACCAATATATTTGGACCTGACTTATAAGGGAGTCCTGCCTCAAATACACAGGCTAAGTTGCTCAAGAACGATGCCTGCATGGGAATCTATGGCGTAGTCAAGAGCACTGCATAGTCAAGAGCACTGCATAGTCAAGAAGTGCTAAGGGCCACTTCTGCAGCTCCTTGAGAATCTATGGCGGGCAAGAGCAGGGCTACCCTGAGTGTAATTGACGTCGTTGACTTTGCTTGACTTTTGCTGACTTGAGTTAAAAAGGTGGCCTTTAACTACGTACAGAGAGGGCGGGCGACAGCAGGGCGTGGCTGAGAGTGACGGCAGCAGCGCGGGCCAGTAGGGGGTCCTGGGAGAACAGGAGAGTCATGACGTCATCCACTGACATCGTGTCGTCATCCGATGGAATTCTGACGTCATCCGCGAATACGGGGACGTCATCAGCTGACTTCCCCTCGAGCCCTCCTGTTGCTTCGGATGCCTCTCTCCCTCCTCCGCCGCCGTCGCCCCCTTCTGCTTCTGCATTGTCTATCTCGCGCTTTTCCCGCTCCGGCCCCCCATCAGCGCCAGTATCTGGATGTCCTTCCCCGACTGGTAACCCTCCTTCCCGATTTCGTTGCCATTCGCCAAGACAGCCTACTTCGCCTTCTTCGCCAGCTTCATCGCTGCGCCAAATTCCGCCTCCATTTGCCCCTCGCCCACTCGCCTTCATCTATACCGCAACCACAACTGACGGTCCTTCGTGCTGCAAGTTCCGCCAACCTAACGTGCTGAAAAATCCGTCACCTACCATGCCGCAGATTCGGTCACCATCTTACATGCTGCAGACTTGGTCGCATATCGTGCGGCGGAACTCGCCAGAAAGTCAATTGTGTATACGCCCCCCTACAGTCCTACGCCCTGTTACCATTCTAGCTAGGATGCCTTGCAACTTCCGGTATTTCCTTTGTTCGTCTTATTAGACTGTATCACTAGTTCTGATAATCGTGTCAATAGACCTGCGGAACTTTCAACACATGGGGATACCACTGATAATAAACCGTACATGGCAGTGCATCATACAGGAATTCAAAATACCACCAGGTTACAACAAATCTTTTTTGAGAATTCTCAAAAAACATACCACCAGGTTACAACAACACCCTAGCTCTGAAAGGTCAGAAAGGGAAGCGAAGCAGAAATGAGGCATGTGGCTGGCTGGAAGATCAAGAGCCAAGTCATAGCAGCAAGATGAGTGATTACCCTCCCATTTCGTGCCTTTCTCCTCATTCCTCTGCCAGCCGAGGCAGCTGGCCGCCATTGAAAGCCGTGAACCTGCAATCAGTAGCAGTCACGCCCGACGTCTCATAATCCCCCACCTCCCCATCCAGAAACCCCTTCCCCTCCTCACCATCCACTGACACAGGGTGGTGCAGCAGAGCCGCAAGCCTCGAAAACTCCATCGTCCTCTGCTCCCTGCCGCTGCGGTACGTCTGCCCCATCACCCCGTGCACCTGGCTGCTCGGATTCGAGTCCACAAACATCAGGTTGATGTGCACCTGCGCGTCCTCAGGTGTTTGCAACAGAGGGTGCGCCGCGCGCAGCTTCAGCTCGAGCTCCAGGAGATTTTCCATGCGGAGGGTGTACACGTCCACGTCGAACGGGCCGGTCTTCTCCTGGCCCACAAAGGACAGAACCAGCCGCCCATTGGAGAGAACGTGGCTCTTGCCAAGGGTGAGGCGTGGGAGAGGCTTGCCGTCAAGAGTGGCGGATGCAAGGAAGCCTTGAGCGCCGCGAGTCTGCTCCTTGCCGTCCCGTGCTGTGAGCACGAGAGAATGAGACGACGCATTAACGTTTGCACTAGTGACGCTGCTGCTGCTGCTGCTGCTGCTGCTGCTGCTGCTGCTGCTGCTGCTGCTGCTGCTGCTGCTGCTGCTGCTGTTGCTGCTGTTGCTGCTCTCGCCGTCGTGCCACATGATCGCCAGCTGTCGGATCCACGTGCGAACCGCCAAGCCGTTGACAAACCGGGCGGCAGCCAGCGCGCTACGGTTACCAGCAGCAGCAGCAGCGGTGGGTGCGCGCGCAAGCGCAAGCGGGCGCTCGTCCAGATACCCACGCATGGCCATGTTGATGTGCACGCGGCGGTCAGTGTAGAGGCAGAAGGAGCGGTCTGGCAGCCCGTTGAAGTCAAACCGCGTGCCGTGCGCGCCCAGGAAGTGCGGGTCATTCTCGCCACACGCGCACCGCCGCCCCACGCGCACCGTGTCACCGCCCGTGTTGGTGCCGCAGCGCCCCTTGCGGGCCCTCTCGGGCGTGAGAGTGTCCACGGCCGGGATGAGGACGCACTTGCCGCGCTGCTCGCTGCTGCGGCGGTCGTGAGAGTCAGGAGATCTGGAGCAAGAAATGTGAAACAGGAGAGGTTGAGAGAGATGAGGGGGAGGAACGTCGAAATGCGCACCTGAAAAATGCTAACTTGTTCAGAAATTGTATAGCAAACCAGGCAAGCTGGCAGTCAGAAGGAAGACTTTTTGGGAAGAACCAAGAGGCGTGCAGCTAAAGGAGCAAGGTGGCAGGTGGATGGAACGGGAGGTACTTACGGAATGTGCACCCAGTGGAGACAGTTGAAGGGAGTGCCATCGGCGGTAACGTTGGTGCTACTGCATCGGCTGCAGCACTCCCTCACGCCCATAGCCGCCCCCGCACACCACGCCTCGTTTGCCTTCCGCGGCGCACCACCACTGCTGCTGCTGGTGTCAATGCTGCAGCGGCCATAGTCGGGCAGCTTCCAGTACCCCACTTCGCCTGCGTCGTTGCTGCACCCGCCCCGCCCGCACAGCCCGCCGCCATGGCTACTGCTACCACCAACATCCCCGTGCCCCCGGCCGCCATGCCCGCCGTGGCCTCCGTCGCCGTCCTCCCTCTCCTCGTCACTCCCGCCGCCGGGAATCCCGCCGTGCCGCGAATCGCCGTGCGAAACGGCGTGCGGACCACCGCTGCCGCCGCGCCCGCCTGCTGTTGCCGTCCCGCCGGTCACGCTGCCGTCGCCGCCGCGCAGAGCGACCCCGCCTGAGCGGGGGGGCTTCGTCGCAGCAGCGACGCCGGCGGCTGCTGCTAATAACGCGGATAGCGCGAGGAGGAGGAGAAACGCTCGAGACATGACGGCGTCGAGGAAGGCTCTTAAGGGAACAATCACGAAAGAGCGGTGATACAACTATCAAATATAAGAACGGCGATCGATCCGAATGGTGCTTCTGGCAGCAAGCGGTCAGATGAAGGAATTAGAAGAGGGAATCCCTGAAGTGGTGATGCTTGGGCCAGGTAAGATTAGGGTAGTCGACTTCTAGAAGACTGAAGCATGCTGATGCTGCGGTCTATCGAAAGGCTTTATAGTAGCGAATCTCGACGCTAGGACGACAGTGGCAGGGCATGGCGCCTCACGATCGCGATTCGCGACGCAAGGCTGCGTCAGCCCACTTCCCAGGGCGTGAGCATGGCACTACGGTTAACAAGAGCGCCGCGGAAGAAGAATATCATTGTCGCGCCGCGTCGTGGGAATAAGTCGCAGATGTGGTAATTGTGGACTATCAGCCCACTGCGCGTTCATGACTCCTGAAGAATCAAGGAATTTCGGAATCTGATAAAGTCTTCTGTTTCTGCTTGAATTCTTCTCTCCATATTCTGGGTTCGGCTAGTTTGGGTACGTTTCAATTCGGTTCTACAGTACTCCGAGAAGGTAGTGCTGACTTGCGGCAGAAAGGAAGCGAGGACCAGGAGGCGAACATTTTCAAACTCACCTGAATTTCGCAAGCACCATTCGCGAACGACTTCCATTCCCACAGATTCAAACTCTCCAGGAAGGCTGATGCGACACTAGCGACGCCAGAAGTATGCGAACAGTGCAGGGTAGTTTCTGGGAGTTTCTTGTGCTGGGTTTGTCCCCATTAGTGGAGAACTTCAAAAGGTGAGATTTGAACACATTGCAAAGCAGATACTCTGTATCGTCATGGAACACTGACACGAAGCAGAATGAAAACCCAGAATAGTCTACGAAATGTCACACTTCAGCATTCTTATCTCCATCTCTCATGCGACACCCTCAAACGAATGTGGCTGTCAACCGCCTAGTTGGCACCCCAAATGCAAAACATTCTCTTGAAGGGAAATCACCATACCATGTCTCATGCGTTGCAGTGTGAAAAATGTTGGAAACAATCGGTCCTAAGCGCCTCTGTCGTGTCTAAACTCTAAGACACAAAAAAAAACGAAGAATAACGAATCACCGGCGAGTCAACCCTCGGAGGTTGAAAGTAACTGTTGGAGGTTACGCAAAAGTCAAAGGTCAGTGACCTTTGACCTGACAAAGTACAACGCGACAGCAAGGACAAACAACTGACTCGGTATTGAGCAGTTGCCCGAGTCGTCACTGTATCGAACCGCAACAGCAATAGTGAAACGGTTATTAACTGTATCTCTTCGTATTCCTTGTACTCTTATAAAACGCTTGTATCTCTTTGTTTTAATCAACTTACTTTGCCCCCACATACTAGCGCAAGGTGGTTCACAACTCTTTAATTAACGCTTCCGCTGCTACACCAACTCTACCCAGAGTTCACCCCTGCAAAGATCCTAAGGGTTTTTCAGGCCAACATGGTATGAGAGCTATTAGGGGGAATTCAACTTCTATACCGACAACATCAACAAGCATGGGTACACAAAAGCAAAGGAGCAACTCCAACAGCTCCCAGGGCACTACTCCTACTCCACCTCCTCCCTCTGGCCTACAGACAGAGGAGGGCACAGCAACAAGACCCAGAGCAACATCTACCGAGACTCCCGCGAATCAACCTGCAGACTTCTGTCAGAACATTATAGCTTACTTATTTGTGTAGGCTATAGTGGGGTATCCCATAGGGGGTACAACCCAGCTAGGGTTTCCTATTTGTACTCACTTCGTTCATAGTTCACACATTTTCTCTCGTTCACTTCTTGACATGGAATCAGAGCAGGTTCCCCTGTGGGAACTGTGCTTCGGGCCCACCACCTAGAACTTTTTTTCTGCCCTGGCGCCCGCCCTAGTGCCCGCCCTAGCGCCCGCCCTAGCGCCCGCCCTTTCGAACCGCCCGTTCGCGCCGCCCGTTAGCGCCGCCCGTTAGCGCCGCCCGTGCGGCTGCCTGTTCGCGCCGCCCTTTGCGCAGCCCGTAGCGCCGCCCGTGCGGCCGCCCGTTAGCGCCGCCCGTGCGGCCGCCCGTAGCGCCCCCCAGTGAGCCGCTGCCCGTAGCGCCGCCCGTGAGCCGCCGCCCGTCGCCACCCTTTAGCGCCGCCCGTGAGCGCCGCCCGTGACGCAGCCGCCCGTGAACCGCCGCCCGTGACGCCGCCGCCCGTGACGCCGCCGCCCGTCCCGTCGCTCCCCCCCCCCCCGTGACGCCGCCGCCCGTCCCGCCGCCCGCCCGTCACGCCGCCCGCCCGTGAGCCGGCGCTGCCCGCGAACCGCCCACCCGTGGGCCTTCAGCCCGCCCGTGAGCTGCCGACGCCGCCCGTGAGCAACCGACGCCGCCGCCGCCACCCGTGAGCCGCCGACGCCGCCGACGCCGCCCGTGAGCCGCCGACGCCGCTGCCGCTGCGGTCGCCCGTGAGCCGCCGACGCCGCCGCCGCCGCCCGTGAGCCGCCGACGCCGCCGCCGCCGCCCGTGAGCCGCCGTCGCCCGTGAGCCGCCGACGCCGCCGCCGCCGCCCGTGAGCCGCCCTGGCCGCCCGCCCAGCCGCCCGTGAGCTCCCCGCGCGCCGTCCCAGCCGCCCGTGAGCCGCCACCGAGCTGCCCCAGCCGCCCGTGCCGCCGCCCGAGCCGCCCGGGCCGCCCGCGCCGCCCTAGCCACCCGAGCCGCCCGAGCCGCCCTAGCCGCCCGAGCCGCCCGCGCCGCCCGAGCCGCCCGAGCCGCCCGAGCCGCCCGAGCTGCCCGAGCCGCCAGAGGAGCTGCTCTCCTGCTCCTGTCGGGCTACTGCTGCTCCTGGGCTGTGTACCTGCGCCGCTGACCTACCCGACTCTTCCTGCCCGGTGAGACTGTCAGCTGCTGTCATGGCCACCCCCAATGTCCTAGCTTTTGACGCTGAGGGTAGAGCCATTGACTTTGCAGTCTGGATTGAGGACCTGCAGCTGTACTTACTGTGTGATGCGGTCGATGAGGTCTCTCTCTTTGACTTTGTCTCTGGCGCTGTCCCTGCCCCTCCTCCTGATGCTGATTCCGCCGTTCGCTCCAAGTGGGCGACCCGCGATGCTGCTGCACGTCTTGCTGTGCGTCGCCACCTCCCTTCCTCCGAGCGTGCCCACTTTAGTCAGTGCAAGACCGCTCAGGCCTTGTACGACGCTGTAGTTGCACGCTACTCCTCCCCTTCCTCCGCTACGCTGAGCCGCCTCATGCTACCTTTTCTCTTCCCTGACCTCGCTGCCTTTCCCACTGTCGCTGACCTCATTACCCACCTCCGCGCTAGTGACGCTCGCTACCGCGCTGCCCTTCCTGCTGAGTTCCGCGCCGCCAACCCTCCTCCCATGTACATCACTCTCTACTTTCTTGTCACCCGTCTCCCTGAGTCCCTCCGTGTCGTTAGGGACCAGTTTCTCTCTGTCTTTCCCACCACCCTCACTGTCGACCTCCTTGAGGAGTCCCTGCTAGCGGCTGAGAAGAGCATAGTCGCTGTAGGGGCCTCTCGGGGTGACCCTCGCACCCCCATCTTTGAGGGGTGTTCTCCTTCCCCCCTGCTGCCCTCTGTCGCCTCTGCCGCTGCGGCCGACCTCGCTGGTTTTGAGTCGGTCGGTGCGGCGTCTTCCCCCAGCGGTAGACGCCGCTCTGGCAAGGGCAAGGGGGGCAAGGGAGCGGGTGGAGCTAGAGGGGGCAGTGGCGGAGGAGGTGGGGGTGGCGGGGGGAGTGGGGGTGGCGGTGGAGGTGGTGGCGGGAGTGGAGGTACTGGTGGAGGCGGTGGAGGCGGAGGTGGCGGCGGGGGCGGTAGCGGAGGAGGCGGGGGCGAGGGTACCAGTGGGGGCGGTGGCGGTGGAGACGGGGGCGGTGGTGGAGGCGGGAGTGGCGGTGGCGGCGGGGGTCGGAGTGTCTCGTCCCTGCGCAGCAGCTCTGGGGGTGGTCAGCGCCAGCAGCAGCCGCAGCAGCAGCAGCAGCTCCGTGAGTGGTACTTGCAGCGTCAGCGTGGTGGTGCGTTTGGTCCCTGCCCCTACGTTCTTCGCACCGGCGACCGTGCGGGGGAGAGGTGTGGAGGCACCCACACGGCCCGCCGCTGCTTTGGCCGCCTGACCGACGCCTGGCGTCAGCAGTTTCCGGAGGCCGCTGAGATCCCCCGCTGGGGGGAGCTGTCTAGGGCTGGTGTAGCCATTTATGATCTTGACTTTGATGCTATTCTTTCTGCTATGTATGTTGTGACTGGTAGTGATGAGGATGACTGTTACCGGTGTTTCCCGCCCGACCCGGGCATTGGTACTGCTGCGTCAGGTACTAGTGAGGCTGCTGCTCTAGGTGCCAGTGCGTCTGAGCTCTCAGGTACTGGTGAGTCTGCCCTCTCAGGTACTGTGTCGGCTTCGGCCTCTCACACCTTCACACTTGACTCTGGAGCGTCTCGCTCCTTCTTTCGGGACCGCACTACTCTCACGCCCCTGAGTCGGCCGGTTGCGGTGTCCCTGGCTGACCCCTCTGGGGGGCCTGTCCTGTCTCGCTTCTCCACGGTACTTCCGTGTCCGGCGGCCCCCTCTGGCACCCTGTCTGGTCTCTACCTCCCCTCGTTCTCGACGAACCTGGTGAGTGGTGCTGACCTACAGGATGCGGGTGTCCACCAGTTCACTCCTGCTCGTCAGCGGGTGACCCACTGCACGGAGGCTAGCACGGGACGCCACCTGGCTACGTTTACACGTCGGCCAGGGTCGAGCCTGTACACACTGACCACTGCTTCTCCTCCAGGTACTGAGTCTGGTACGGTCCCTTCGTCTGGTCAGGTGTTTGCAGCAGCGTCCAGGTCTGGTCCTGAGTCTTCCCCCTGTTCGTGTCGTCGTCTGTCTCACGAGACCCTCCTCTGGCACCACCGCCTTGGCCACCCCTCTCTGCTTCGGCTCAGAGGCATGGCCTCCCGTCTTCTTGTGTCTGGTCTCCCCCGGTCCCTACC